CATCAGGATTTAATTCGCAAAGCTGGTTTCATAGACCTAGAAGTCCACGTCCAGATGATAAATATGAAAAACGAAAAACGCCACAATGCTATCAGTGTGGGTCATATCAACATTTAAGATCCCAATGTCCAAAACTTAAGAATAGTACTGAATCTCCTGCTAATCTTAACAGAATTAGTGCAAAACCAGAGGATAAATTTCTATTACCTTATACTAGTATGGGTTACGTAAATGGGTATAAAATTCCTATATTAAGGGATTCAGGTGCTAGTATTGATATAGGTTGTCGCAAATACACATCACGCCGGAAATGCTGACAGGTGAAAATGTGTGGGTGCAACAGCCATTAGATTTGAATCCAACCTGTTTACCATTTCCTGAGATTGAACTAAATTGCGATCTTGGGCGAGTAATAACTAAAGCTGCCATTATTAGAAATGAACTCGACAAAGGAAGGTATTTATTAGGCAATCGAACTTTCGCACTGTTGAATAAACAAGGAAAGGAACCTGATTGTCCTCACCAGGTTAATGCTGTCTCTACTAGAGCTCAAAAGGAAAAGAGAAATAGCTGAAGAGAAGATCTTGGAACCGATGAAGGAAGAAAATAAAGCATCCAGAGATGTTTTTGAAGAAGAAGATAATTTACCGGAACTAAATTCGGAAGATGAAGCTCTCATGAAACTGGTAAACATTGACTCAGAAGAAATTGCACAACTTCAGCTTGCTGATAAGGAACTGTCTAAAATCATCCAAGAAGTTAAAGAAGGTACATGCAAAAATGAGAACTATAGTCTGACAGGAAAAGAACTTTTAGTTAAAAAAAACGACGACGGATAAAATGGGCTTTGAAAGACAGCTTGTCGTTATACCTGAAAAACTCAAGCCGTCAATTATAAAGATGTGCCACGAAGGAACTTCTGGTCATTTGGGTGTCAAAAAGACCAAAGACAGACTTGCTAGATATTTTTACTATAGGTGTTACAAAGAAACTGAAGATTTTGTAAGAACCTGTGATGCTTGTCAGCTCGCTGGAAAAGGAAATGACAAAAAGAAGGCTCCAATGACATTAGTACCAGTAATTTCCGAAATATTCACTAAAATAAATGTCGATGCCGTTGGTCCGCTACCTATTTCAAAGACTGGAAAAAAATATATTATTACAGCTCTGTGTATGTCGTCCAAATATCCAGATGCTGTTGCGGTGACAGACATTTCTTCGCTTCTTCGCCATCTGTGATTGATGCTTTCTTACAGATTTTCAGTCGTATGGGTTTCCCAAAAGTGATCCAAACAGATCAGGGGACCTCTTTCGTCAGTGCTTTGACAGAGGAATTTTTGGAGCGTTTCGGCATTAAACATGTAAGAAGCTCTGTGTATCATCCGCAGAGTAATCCCGTTGAGCGATTCCATAGAACGCTAAAAAGGGTGTTAAGAGTCGTATGTATAGGAGCGACTTCGGATTGGGAGAATTATCTACCATCAGTTCTTTTTGCTCTCAGAACAGTCACACACGAAAGCACTGGTTTTACACCAGCAGAATTAGTTCATGGCAAAAACCTACGAACGCCAGTCACTTTACTTTATGAGCAGTGGCTAGAACCGATTGAAGAAAGTAATAATGTTGTCAGTTACGTTTTCGAACTTATTAATCGAATGAAGAAATGCCAAGAACTTGCCGTGGAAAACATGAAAGAAGCTCAACAACGGAGGAAAACATGGTACGATCGAAACGCAGTGAAAAGAGAATTTGCTAGAGGAGATTTAGTTCTTGTTTTATCAACGAATCGTCAAAATAAACTAGAAGTACAGTGGAAAGGACCTGGAAAAATAGAGCAGAAAATTTCAGAAACCAATTATATTGTAAGTTTCGAGGAACAAAATGAGCCAAATCAAGTATATCACATTAACATGCTTAAACCATATTACAAAAGACCAGAAATGATTAATATGATAACTGAAGTGGAAGGAGACTTAGAAATGGACATTCCTCGTTTACCTTCCAATCCAAGTATATTAAATTTTCGGACATCATAGAGAAATGAACTCGAGAAAAGGTTGAAATCCGAGCAAATAGAAGATTTACGAAAGATTTTATGGAAATATTCTGGTTGTTTTTCAAATAATCCTGGACTAACAAACTTAGTTTGTCACGATATTGAGCTATTAAATAACGAACCAATACAAATAAAGCCATACAGACTGTCACCCCGACAGACTGAAATTCTCAAAAAGGGAAAATACAGAAAATGCTCGATCTTAAAATTATAGAGCCGGGAGAATCGGACTATACATCTCCCATGATTTTGATAGAATCTTCATCATCAAAGGATCCTCGGCCTTGTATTGATTATCGTAAACTCAATGCTGTTACTAAAACTGAATACTATCCTTTGCCTAATATTGAAGAACGTATCGAAACTGTAGCAAAAGCAAAATATATTACCCTATTAGATTTATCTAGAGGCTACTGGCAAATTCCGTTAACAGAAAGAGCCCAAAGATATGCAACATTTGTAACTAGTTTTGGAAGTTTCAGGCCTCTACGTTTACCCTTTGGATTAAAAAATGCCCCATATTTTTTTAGCAAAGTTATGACTAAAGTCCTGGCTGGATGCGAAGGTTTCGCTGTACCATACCTGGATGACATTGCCATTTACTCAGAAAACTGGGAAGAGCACCTTAACTTCTGTTCTAGAGAGAATACAGAAAGCAAATTTACGACTAAAACCATCAAAATGTAAATTTGCACAAGATCAAGTGAGATACCTAGGCCATGTTGTGGGACAAGGACAACGGACCCTGGATGAAGTAAAGATCCTGGCTATAAAGGAGTATCCTACACCTAAAACCAAAGCAGAAGTACGTGCTTTCTTAGGACTGGTAGGGTATTATCGCCAGTACATACCGAGATTTTCGGAAATTGCTTCACCCCTCACGGACACTTTGAAGGGGGTAACAGAAGAAGGAAATATGCAATGGTCTGAAATATGTGACAAAGCTTTTAAAAATTTAAAAGAGTTGCTATGCAAGAAACCAATTCTGTATGCTCCCGATTTTGATAAAAGGTTTATTATACAAACCGATGCCTCAGACAATGGCATGGGTATAGTACTATGCCAATTAGATGATGAACAACGTGAACATCCTATCTTGTATATAAGCAAAAAATTTACTAAGTTTGAAAAGAATTATTGTACTACTGAAAAGGAGTGTGCTGCTATCATCTACGCTGTCAAGAAACTGCATTTTTATCTGGATGGTCAGCAAGAATTCTTGATTCAGACTGATCATAATCTTTTGGTCTGGCTACAATCCAACGCCAAATGTAACTCGAGATTGATGCGCTGGGCACTCTCATTACAACCTTATAATTTTAAGGTCATTCATCGCAAAGGTGTTGGTGTTGGTGTATTTAATTATGGCAAAGCACACGAGGGCTATCTGCCTAAGGGGAGGGATGCCTTTCGTGGAGGACTTTCTAAGGGAAACTGGCTCGTATACACGTTACACATGGGGAAAACCACGAAAACGCCCATGCAGCCAGCCCGTTCGCGGGATTCGAACCTCGGACCGAACTACCAGTGTTCAGCGACTTTACTGCTCGGCCGCTGGTGGGCCCATTCATCGCAAAGGATCTTTGCACAAGAACGTAGATGTTCTGAGTAGAATTAAGTAATGTAATAACTCATAGTGTATGTAACCACGTTCAGGATTTATTTATTTATTTAATGTATACTCAACTGATGTATTTGAATGTTCTCCATTTTTTTTCTTCCTATTTAAATGTGGTGTAAAAATATTTGTTTAAAACTTAAAATTTTCAGCCTGAAAATTTGGAAACTTATGAGAGAAGTTATCTTTTCTCTTTAAGCAATTGAGCAAGCCGAGCTTTATAAACTTTCGAAATTTACAGAACTTTTCCCTTCGGTAAAAGTCTCTCCGTTGGGGGAGAGGTTGTAACAGATTTAAATAATATTAAAATCTTGTAGTTTAAATAATTTAAATAGATGAACATTAAGGTATTTGTGAATGGCAATATTTGAAACCAGACTCGAGTACCTCGTGCGACTCTCGCACGAAGAATGTAATTTATTTTTAAATGATAGAATATGTTTTCTCTTCTTGTTTGTATGTCGCCATTTTTTTGAGTGTTAAATAAAAGTTATTGCTGTGTTCCATCATTGGAGTTGCTTCATATCGTCAAAGAAGTATCACAGGTTCTAGATCTGGAAAATAGCACTACTGACAGTGAAGAAAGTGACAAAGAGGTTATTGAAAACGAAAAAATTTCAATTGACAAGTTAGTCGGAATTCTCGAAACGACAATTACAGGACTTAAACAATGGAACTTTGTAACTAAATATGAAATTATGACTGTTTATAGAATTAAAGGGAAAATATTAGCACAAAAAAAGCAACATAAACACCTTACATTGAAAGAAATGTTTAATAAAATAAACAAATATTAAGCTTTTTTTTTGTAAATTTTGTTACTCTTTAGATCATAAATGCTTCATTATTTCATAAATCACTATTTCATATTTCATTTTTCATAATTTGTACATGCCGTCTTACAAGTTGTTAACTAATGATTTAATATCCGGAAAAATCCCAAATCCACGTTGGGATCTCAGACTTTGTACTGTATTTCTTTTGGTTCTTTTAAATTTTACTTTATTATTGTATGAAAAATCAGTATTGGTCATAAATCCTTAACTGAAACTTTCTTTAAACATTTGAAACCGAGTTTTAACATCTTTTTCTTCTCTTCTGTAATAGTAAATTGATTACTTGTTGCTATAGTCATTTAAATACAACTATTGATTACTTGTTGCTATAGTAATTTAAATATAACTATGCTTCATCTATAGTGATTGCATATCTCCATTTTTCATGCAGCAAATTATTTCCAGAAAGATTTAGATTATTTTTAACATGATGTTATTAAAGTCGCTCATATTTTCTATGTTAAGATTTACATAAATAATATTTCACTAGGCAAACTGGACAGAACACATCAGAAGAGTTAAAAAATAAGGATTTCCGACGTGAATTAGAAGAGAAAGAAAGAATTGCCTCTCATGAGAGGGAAGGAAAAAGAGCCTCCAGAGGTAAAGTCATTAAAATTTTAAAAACTGGAATTTGGGTACATTCTTTTATGTGGTTTGTAAGTTTATTGTTTAGTAAATTATTTCTGTTTTTCTTTTTCAGTCTTAAATTAAGTTGTTTACAGGCATGAGTTATGTACTTATTCATAGAGTTATTCGTGGGTATTTGCAGTTGTTCCAAATTTAGGAAAAATAGTTATAAAATTTTTTTTATTTTAAGTGCCAAATGTGAAAGCTGTTTGTCTAATAACATCAAATTTTATCTTTTAGTATTTTGTTGATTAGTGACATTTTATTTTTTCTGTATCAAAATCTGTGAATCTTTATAATTTTGTGATGGAAACATCATCATTCAGAAAACTGCAAGTAATTGTGAAAACACTAACTGTTACACGTTAAAATCCGCCTCTTCTTTCATTTATCAAAGTAATTGTTTTAGTGATATAAATAATTTAAATATTAGATTTTTTTTATTCCAGTTTGGACATGATTTGAATAAATTAAGGGCAATTTCTCATGTTTTTAAAATGCATAATCTATGCAAGGAATAACGTATATTTTTCTTTTTAAATTAGAGTAAATATTCTGTTCTGATTAATATATTCATAGATTTTTTTTGTACATTTTTTCATGTAGGCTAAAATTTCTAAATTTCGTAATAAAACAAATGTTAATATTAAATAAATGAGTTTATTATTATGATTCAGTAAAAAAATAGAAATACAATGTTCATACCTATCAACTTTTACGAATTTTTCGTAATTTTTACGAAAATGCGTTTGTCTTTACGATTTTACGATCGTAATCCATTTTTACGATTTTTTTCCTTTTTCAAGTGTTTTTAGTGATTTTTGTCGAAATTTTAGAATTTTTCGCCGATTCAGCTATTTTCGCCAATTGCATCGTGTTTTACCGCCAACTACTAACTACTTCGAATCCGGTAACCTGCGGTTTCTCCCAACTCGCCGCTTAACCAGCCAATCCAATGCGCTGAACTTGTTTCTCCCACTCTTTTCTTTGTGGGCGCCAGATTATTTATTTTTTTTTTTTGCGTTCGCTTCAGCAGCAAGGGAATTACTCAGCGAGCGTAGATTGTCGCATTCTGTTTTTTTTTTTTTGCACATGCTACGAATTTTCTTAATATGTCGTTGTTACGAAATAAGTTAAAAAAAACCGTATTCTCAATATTTTCGGCCTGCCTACAAAGCCGAATTTCCAACAATTAAAGAATCCTTCAAAGGAAATAACTATGCATTTTGCAATGTGTGCTTGTGTTTCCTCAGTCTGTGATTACATTGTAAGGAAGTTTCCTTTGCAAAATGAAGTTCTTTTAAATGCTGAAGTGGCAAATTTGAAACAAATTAAAAATTCATCTTTTGAAAAGATTCGTTTTTTTATTGATAAATTTCCATTTTTGTTAACAATTAAAGAAAATTAATGCCATAATGATGCTTTAGATGAACTACAGAACCAATTTTCTGCTGCACAGTTTGAAGACTTTGCCAGTTCTGGAGAAGATAGACTTGATGTCCTCGTTGGTACCTTAAAAAGAATAAAAAAAGCTGATGGAACACCAAAATATGATAGACTAGCAAGAGTTTTATGTGCTATTCTCGTAATTCCACACAGTAATGCTGAGTACGAGAGAGTCTTCAGTGTTGTGAAGAAAAACAAAACTATGTTTCGTTCTTCAATTTCACCAAAAACTCTAGAAAACATTTTAATTGCTAAATGTTATGAGGAAACTAATTGTTATGACAGGAAATTTTCCAAAGACTTTTTGGCTAAAGCCAAAAAAATGCACTCTAAATTCATTGCAATATTTTTTTTGTGTAACATTAAGTTCTTGTTTTATGTTTCCTGATAAATTTTTTAGTTACTACTTAATCGAGATTTACTAATGTAAGTACAATTTTCTTTTTTCTATTTGTATAAATTGTTATTTTTTTAATATCAAAGCATGATATTAATTCTTCATGTTCTTCTGAATTTTGGAGAAATCTTCTGAATTTTTATCTTTAGAGGTTGGCAGGTATGAATGTTACATGATTAAAAATCTTTTGAATTTGGAATACAGTAGTACCATGTTCAGATTAAGACTTTTTTTTTTTTTTTTTTTTTTTTTTTGCCGCTAAGCACGTAAAATGTTCTTTTGCTCCCATATGCATTTATGTCGTTTTTTTCTCTTTTGTTCTTGCTTTAGCAGCACCATATATTCCATGGTAAAATCTGCAAGGGGAAGATTTTGTAGATCCATGGTTCCATGGTAAATGATTTTGTAGATCCATGGTACCATGTTTTCCATAGTAAAATCTGCAAGGGGAAGATTTGTTTGACCCCTTTTCCTTTGATTTCCTTTTTGTTGTGCCCCTTTTTCTTGATGCTCTAAATATGTGGTTATTCTGCATAATGGTTAATCTAGCTCTGAATGCTACATATGCATTTCATCATAAGAGGCAAGAGCATTTATAGTGTTATGATAGCATGTCTGGATAATCAAACAGAGCATTTTCCTCCATCACAAAAATATTTGCTATTTTTTAGACAAATATGTGGAGCTTATAAGAGCAGTGTAACATAATGACGTTTATCTTGCATTATCCGAAGTGAAATCAGTGATATGGAGGGTGATTTTCCCTGAAGTTAATTTAAAAAATTTATGGTGAATTCTTGTGGGATGTAATATGCTCGACTAGTCAAGACTTGGCATTAGTTATCAATGAATGTATTTTGTTATTTAACTGTATCATCTTAATAGGAGCTGTGAGCTTTTTCTTTCTTTCCTGTTTTTGTTTTTCATGTATTCATGTTCCTTTTTCATCTTGTTATTCATGTACTCATGTTCATTTCTAATCTTGTTATTCATGGTTTTCCCCATGTGTAACGTGTATACGAGCCAGTTTCCCTTAGAAAGTCCTCCACGAAGGCATCTCTCCCTTTAAGCAGATTGCCTTCAATGCTTTGCCATAATCACATACACACAACTCTTGTTTCAACTTTCCTTTATAAAATCTGTTATGGTTACAAAAAAGAATTTTTATTCCGTTAGCTTTCTTACGAATGCAGAACACTTTTAAATTAATGCAGTTCAGTAAAAAAATATTAAGTAAATAACTAAAAAAAATTCATTGAAATGGATGTTATTTAGTACACTCGAGTTATTATAGTGACAAGAAAAAAAAAAAAAAAAAAATCTTTTCTCATTTAAAGCTTACCATCATATATGCCCTTTCTGAGAAAAATGTCAATGATATTGGCTACAGGCTAATGGATTCAATTGTTTCTTAGTAGCCTTTAGGAGTGCAGTGTCTCCAACATGGGTCTGCTTATCCTTCTAGTCTTCTAATGTAGATTATAACTGTCTCAGTTATTCGCTTCAGAATTGCTGTCAGAGAACTTCTTTCAATTGTTATTGATATTTGACTGTTTTGATGAGTTTCTTTTTATCTATCAGATCTGTATCTAGAACTCCAAATGAAGGTAGTTTGTGAAGAAACATCAAAGATGTCAATGGAGCTAGACCTTTATCATTTTTTGATACATAGGTTGTGAATTTTGAATTGGATAAACTGTTCCACATTACGTAGTATCGTATTTAACTCTCCACAGTTAAGGAACTTTTATTTAAGACTCATCTTAAAGTTAACTTTATCATTCTTATCTGTTCCTCCACTATACAGAGGATTGATGGTTCAGTTTTTTTTTTAGTAATAGTAGTAATTTTCTGAGTAGTGGTGACTGACAGCAATAGCATAGCATTCTAATCTATGTTACAAGGTATTCAGTATATCTGAATAAAGTTACTGTTATCAGAATGTATAATGTACAGTTTGTTTTTTCTAGCAATACATTATCCGAAAGACTGTATAAGGGTTTCAGTGGATAAGGAAGTTATGAGTTCCAAATGTATAGCTTTATAAACTACACATGTGAATAAGATTATCCAAGATTTTCATCCTCTTTCAAACAAGCTAAATTGATTCCATCTGAATTAAAAATTTTGCATGTCACTGTCAGAAGTTTACATGTACTCAAAGGTGTGTTTCCTTCAGAGTTGTATCCGATTTTACAGAAAGTCTGTCATTCCAAGATCTCGCATTTCCTAATACAGGGACAATTTTAGCTAATTTAGTGTAATGACTGATAAGTTTCCTTCTTATCAGTCAACTTGGTGTAATTGGTGATTAAGTGCAACCACCAAAGAGAAAGTCCAAAGACTATACATTTGTGATGATACAAGTTCAGGTTTTGTTTTTGTCAAACTGTAAAAATCGTAAGAAACCAAGATCCTTTTCTCTGATACTAATCTGTAGAAATGTCATTAGTAAGTATACAGTGAAACACCTATTCAGTATTTTCAGAAACAGTTTTAAGATTGTGAATATAATTTCTGTCAGAATCGGATACTCAGTCATACAGTCATTTAGTAATGGAGAACCTTTTAATCGGGAATTGAGCATTGGCCATTATTTTTGTTGCTTCTTTGCTTATTGGTTGATGAGGCAAAAAATTTACTGTAATTTCGGGTAGATAAGCCTTTAGTGTACACCAAGGATGTCAAACTCGTGGCCCACAACAAATATTTTTGCGGCCCGGCCAATATATCGGCAAATAATAATATATAATAATAAAATAACATATCGACGAAGAAAAAAATGAAATGTTTACTGCTAAGTAATTAACGATAATTTATTCAGTATTGTTAGATTACTCACAGCGAGCTGACACACACACTACTTAAATTACAAATGCGTGTGCGTAGCTTGCGTTCAGCTACCTTCGGCTTTTGAGGGACATGTGCAGTCAGAACTTGTACGCATTCCCCGATAGCCGAATGTGGCCGAACTCGTGGTCTCAGTTTTCCAATCATAGTTTTGTACGATATATTGGTGCATGCATGTGCATGCACTTTGCTTTATTATTAATTATTACTTAATTCATATTGTTACGGATTTCATAGTTATTTATTTATTTATTTTTTTTTATTTAGAATTGTAATTAGA